CACACACACCTATACAGTGAAAGCAGAAGTGCTGACTGATGAGGGGATGAAGTGAAAGTGACATGTTGCCTCGTTTTGTGGAAGCAAGAGAGTGGAGTGGGTAGTGGGGAAGAGAGTGAGTGAGTTCTTTAGGCATATATAATGATACATACGTCTAAGACATGATGATCTGCAAAGCGCACTCCTCAGCACAATCCAGTCAATCGGTCAATCAGACAATCCGTCAATCAAGCACTCGGTCAGCCAATCAGTCAGTAATTCAACTGGACAACCAGTGTGGCAGTGAGCATGTAAGTGGATCAGGTAGTCGGTCGACATCCAATGCGAAGACGATGCGTCTTCACGATGTACGTGGAAGGAGTCAAAAGGACGAAAATGATGACGATGGAGAGGAAAGAAGGCAAAGAAGGCCAACACCGGAGTGTGAGTATTCAATGCTTACCGGTGCCTGTTTATGTGCATGTCGCATCCAGTCGAACGGTGGGCCCCACCACGTTTCCTCACCACTTATTCCTATGCCTCACTCGACTTTACGCCCCACTCCATTCACCATCACATCTCACCTCACCTCACTTCACTCCACCACTTCACCCTACTTCACCTCCTCAACTCTTACCAACTTCCTCACCTTCCAGAAGAGAGCATCTTTCCCACTCCCACTGCGATACATTCATCCTCCGATTGTCCTCGCATCAACAATGCACGATGATCCCTCCATAATAATGCACCACCACATTCAAGTGACTCACTTCAACATTGCTGCACATCGCCCTGTTCCACCACTGACAGAACCCACTCCACTACCATGGAATCCACTTCAGTTCACGTGTGGCGAGGACCAAGCTGCATTCCAATCAGACTCTAGTCTAACCCAATTGGCAAGGTGGGCAAGTCGCGATCACTCCACCTCCCTCCATCCGGCCTTGCATGACATGCAATGGTGGGCTCCGATTAACCAGACAACAGTACCGACCACAGACAAAGCCACCGTGCCAATGCACTACTGACACATATCTGACCTTTGCAATGCAGACACACAAACAATCGCGCTCGTGGATGTGGAGGACTGCCCACCACACTGACTTTGCCATCCCCATCCACTTCATTATTCCACACTGTAAAATTTCTCCTCCTCCTCCTCCT